TAAGCACTCTGCAGCCTAATTGGGCTACTGTGAAGTAGTCCCCACACTCAAGCTCTCTATCTCCTACACGCTCGCACACACACACACACACACACACACACAGGACCGACCTGCTGTAACTGCACTAATACCCCATCCCATGGCCTTTGGTCTATCTAGAGGGATTAGGTGCAGAAAGACACACATACGAGCAGAGATATTGCCACGCACACATGCACAGCATACACACACACAGCACACACAAGCGCAGGAGGCCTGGCTGAGGGTCTACCTTGAGGGATTATGTGCAGAGAGACAGGACCCTCCAGCCAATCAGCCGGTCTGTCACATTGATTTTGAGGGGTCACTGGCGCACAATGGCCAGGGTTTTCCTGTCTTAACCTCTCTGATCATACACATATGCACACACACACACACACATAAACACACAAGCACGCACTCATGCACATGTATACATAATAAACATTAGACCGTCTAAATTTTAAAAAATGAACGGCAAATATACAAAGTGCTGAAAAAATAGACAAATAAGTACGATTAAAGGAGAATGGAGAAATATATTCAAATAAAAGTGTGTTTTCAGATAAAGGTGATACTGAAAGGCTGGAAATTCCTCTCTCTCGCTCTCTCTCTCTCTCACACACACACACACACACACACCTCTCTACAATTCAAAATTCCCCTCCTGCGCCTCTTAAAGCTTCATCACATCCCTGCTGCTGAAAATCCCTTGTCCCCGGGGGGAAGCACACCCGAATTTGGTGTGTGGGGGGGAAGCGCTCTTAGGTCAAACCCCCACCTCTCCCCCCGTCCAACCTGGGGCTCCTTCTTCTCTTTCCTGGTCATACAACACAATAGTCATCTATCAGAGAGGGCACCAGGCAGGCACTAAAGCTAACGGAAATAAACCGCCCATACTGCCAGCAATGTTTCAGGTGCAAGGCTGAATAATTTCTCCAACGTCATTCAAGTTTGGTCTATTCTCTTTTAGGCTTTTGTTGCTTGTTTCCCTTTCCTGACAGGAATATCTGAGGGCTCTGGAAAAACAGGATTCAAGTGTGTCTGTTGTTGGTACTGTTGTGGTTACAGAGCTCATCAGTGACGGAAGAACTATTTAGGTTCTTTAGTTAAGTAAAAGTGCAAATACAACAATGCCAAAATGCTCAGGGGGAAAGAAACAAAAATAGTATTGAAAGCACTCTGGAAAAATGTATCATAGGACT